ATTATACTTTGGATAGAAGTGAATTTGCGTTTTTCCTTTTTTCTTCAGGAGAATGTAAGAGATGGAGGGGGAAAAGTCTCCCCCATAAGAAGCATTGCCAGAAGGAGTAGTTCAAGGTGACCTCAAACAGTACTAGCTGTTGAATATTAACAGGTTTCTAGGTCATTTACATATGCAATAAATGTGTGTCTGCTTTTCCATGTGTATTTTTTTCTAGTAATAGGGCATTTTATCTTAAAAATGAGCTAAATCACAGGTTTAAGTCTCAGTACAAGGAAAAGTGAGTTTATCCAATGCAAATATAAAATATGCCCAGCGCGACATCATGGAAAGATTGGTCGGCACTTCCTGTGCTATTGTAAGTATACCACCTATATGAAGGCAGAGACAGCCACAGTGGACAATCCATCACAGTCCTTCAGTGGCCACGAGTCATGGAAGAATGATGTCAAAGCAAAGCTACTCTTGGAGTAGAAGGTTGTTTGACCCCTTATATCTAACAGGAAAGGGAAAGGAAGAAGTATTACCCACGTGGTGATCAACACCCAACCAGCCCTTCACTCAGCATTTGCTAAGGACCAGGAATTTTTCCAGAAGATATTGGGAAACTGTGCTCTAGTTTATTCTCTGATGCTGTGATAAACAAAATGACTAAAACGCTATAGAGAGAGGAGGGTTTATTTCATCTTATGATTCTAAGTGACCAGTTCATCACCGTGGGAAGTCAGGGCAGGAACTCGAGGCTGGAGCTGGAAGCAGAAGCCAAAGAGCAGGGCTGGCTGCTGCTTTGCTTCTCGGCTCATGCTCAGTTAACTTTCATATACTAGACAGACTCACCTGCCTAGGGGTGGTACTGCCCACAGTGGGCTAGACCCTGTCATACCAACCACCAATCAAGACGATCTCTTATAGATATGACCGTAGGCCAACCTCATCTGACAAGTCTTCAGCTGAGGTTCCCTGTGCCTGGGTGACTCTAGGTTGCATTAAGTTGACAAGGAAGACCATCGTAAGTATGGATACAAAGCAATGGAGCAGCACTGAGCATAGTTTCTAGTTCACATAGACACAGCCAGCAGGAAGCTCTCTCTCTCATGGAAGGCACAGTTTTAATTTAAAAGATGTGTGGCAGTCAAAATTATCCAGGACAGACCCAGTGATGAATGTGAAGCAGGGATATCCCTGGTGATGCAACAGTTAATGGGCTCTGCATGGCTACTCTGGGGGACTGCCACCTTGGCCACCGTGAGAGAAATATGAAGGACCCCACTGCATGAGGATCTGGGAAAAAAATGTGCCCACAGAAAAAGAAAGCTGAAGTATGGGTAATGAGTTTGGTGTGTTTGAGCGCATGGGACAGAAGGTAGAAGATAGGATGCAGGAGGTGAAGAACCAGGTAGAGAGGAACCGGGTGGAGAGCAAGCAGGTGGAGGCAGACCAGGTTGAAAGGCATGGAGTTTCTTTCTTAATTATGTGTGTGCATGTGTGTCTGTATGGGAGCTGTGTTTAGACAAGTGCAGGTGCTTGTGGAGGCCAGAAGAGGGCATCAAATCCCCTGGAGCTGGAGTTACAAGCAGTTGTGAGCTATCTAATGTGGGTGCTGGAAACTGAACTTGGGTTCTCTACAAGCGCAGTATATGGTCTTAACTACCGACCCACATATTCTGGCCCTCTTCACCTGGATCTTACGTGTATTTAGAACTGCCTTTGAAAAAACAACCAGCTGTTGTGGGAGTAACTTCCGCTGCCTCAACCAATAGTCGCTGAAATACGAGCCCACAGTGCAGCGGGGAGCGACTTCCGCTCCATCAGCCAATAGCTGCTGAAATACCAGCCCACTGGGGTGTGGTATATTTCTCTTTTAAAAAGAGAAGCAGATCCGGATCAAGCTCTCTCTTGGTTCCGGCTCTTGGTTCCGGTGCTTGCTCCCGGCTCCTGCTCCCGGCTCCTGCTCCAACGACTAGGCTCCCTTCCTGACGGTTTATGGTGTATGTAAGTTTTACCCCCCAAAATAAATAACCCCTTAAAACATAACTGGTGTGGGATTGATTCACCGATAACCAGCAGCACTACTTTTCCTTTTATTTATTTTGCTTTACTCTTTATTTTTGACAATTTCAAACCCATGTAAAAGGGCTGTGATCATATTCGCAACTCCCATCAGTCCCCTAACCTCTCCCAGTCTAGCAGACCGCATTCACAATTAGTCTTTCAGGAAACCTTTTCTCTTGAGACTGGGTCTTACATAGTCTTCAGTGTGCCATGTAGTTGAGGAGGATCTTGAGTTCTGGATTCTCCTGCCTCTACCTCCTGAGTGCTAAAATTATGGGTACATCAGCATTTGGTTTATACAGTACTGGAAATAGAGCCCAGAGCCTCCTGAATGTGAGGCAGACACAGTCTACCAACTGATATACTCAGTTTCCTTTGAGAATCTTACACCTGGGACCAGTGAGATGACTCAGTGGGTAAAGGCACCTCCCATTAAACCTGATGATCTGAGTTCAATCCCAGGTTCCACAGGGTGGAAGGAGAGAAACAAATGACTCCGGCAAGCTGTCCTATGACCTCTGCATTTGCACGTGCACGCATACACACTAAATAAAAATGTGACTAAGAACTTACATCTCACAGTAAGACTCTCTCTGGTTAGCGATATGACAGGCTAGAAAATGCAGATAAGACAATATGACAATATGAAATGATTTACTCCCAAATGCTGCCATCCAAGAATAAATGCTGCAAGCATTTGGGCACACAAGCTCTGCTGCACTTTGGGCATTCTTCCAAGATTTATGTGCTGAACTCCCTCCCAAGGTGACAGTTTTAGGAGATGGGGAGTCTAGGAAGGGATGAGGTGCTGTCTTCTGCCATGAACATAGAGAACACTCTAAGAAAGGGTGACATGTGGAACTGAAAAGTACACAGACGCATAAAGCCTTAGAGGCACAATTTACCACCAACTTAGCGTAAACACTCCCCCTTTTTTCTCTACAAGGTTCATCCCTCTGGTACCTCTCTCAGTCCCTAAGAAGGCTTCTCAGCACCAGGCTGGAGAAAGTTGCTCACTTTTCTGACTAACTGGGGAGCCAGTCCCTAACCCTCTTTTTATATTAAGGCATTAACATTTTGGGCTTTGGAATGGGAGAAATCTAAACCCTATCTCATAAATGGCATGAAGCTGTAGCAGAAGGTCCTCTGTGCCCTGCTGTGCTCATGCAGTTGTTTAACCCTGGAGACTTTGTCCTTAGCCCCTTGTTCAGCAGCCAGTACTTGTAGGCAGCCAGGAACGAATGTTAAATGATTATCTACTACAGTAACCTAGAGACTCCCGAGATCTGTGATTCAGAACTGCAGAGGTTGGGCACGGAGGTCTAGACTGGTTCTGGGCATGATGCGGTCCTAGAGATGTTAGGGGTGGACTGGAACCAAGGACCCAGGAAAGACAGAGAAAGTAGAAAATAGGAGACACAGCCTGGTGGGATGAGGTGAGGATTGTTGAGAGATGGATGGAAATGAGGAAAGTCAACACCAGGCAGCATGGAAATTGTCTGTTGCGTCATTTCATTAGGAGAAAGAGCCTGTTAATAATTAGTAGCTTTCAAGATAGAAATGTGTTTTCTTGAAGAGGAGGGAGGTTGCACCTAATTGTATTTGTCCAGGTCGAAACAGGAGTAATTTGTCAAGAGTTAAAAAAAAATGTTTTCCTTGTAGGATAGAAGAGTTTTTAAATTATGACCCAAACTCGGATTCATTTCAATGAATATGTACCTAGGTACATTTTTCCTTGTCAATCAATTCCACCATGGAGTCTTTTGGGTTTAAATTCATTATCTTTCTCATTATAAATGAGACCAAATGCTAATGTCTTTTGTGACCCAAGATTCTAGGAGTCTAAATAGCAGTCTGAGAGGCTACTGCTGTGTGCCACACACAGTAGGAGCTCACTAGATAGATTTAAATTACCTCTTAAAACTGAAAAGCTTACATTTAAGGTAATTTAAGCTACAGGCTCCATGCATTTGAGCAACCTGATTGAACTCAGCTAGTCCTGACTAACTACATCAGTGGCTCCTGCTCAGAGCACTAAAATATTCATTAACTTTTTTTTTTAAATTAGAGAAGTTGAAAATTAAAGAGGGAATTTGAGCGATTTTGGCGTGGGGAGATAAAAGTGTGCTCTTACTGGGTTTCTGAATGCTATGAATCATGGCTGAGATGATTTCCCAGAACAGAACCTGGTAACATTAAATTGCAAATAGGATTTTCCCGCACCCTGAGTATAGAGTTACTGGAAGACCACCCTTAACATAATCATTTCATCTGAATTCTAGGGGCGAGAAGGCTACGTAAGTGAGGCATATTCCAAGAGCGCCTGCGGTTCTCAAGATTGAAATCACCAATGGCAACAGAGGTATTAACAGGATCATGTTTGAGTCTGTGAAAAAGCTCCCTTCTCAAACAGCAGTCTACGGAAGTGCTGATGATCACCCAACATCCGTGAGCCACCCTGCCGGTCCTGCCGGGAGGGAAACAGGTAAAAGAACCTGCAAGAACTGCTTTTTATTCCTTTAGTCTTCCATCTCTCCCCCCTCCCTTTCTACTGGAAAGTTAAATAATTAGACATTGGTGTTCAAATAAAGTTGTTTTTTTTTAACTCATTAGTAATATTTGGAAACTTAGTACTAAGAATTAATGGTGCTGGGTAAGATGGGTTACGCATTAGACAAATCCATGGAACCCAGGCTAGCCTCAGAGTTCTTTCTGATCTAGGCTTCAGACTCACATGGCCAACTGATCACAGACAGAAGAAGAGCAGACGCTTCCTGTCATCCTGGTGGGGAATCAAAGGCTCCCTGGCCACACCCTCATCTCAACACCTGTCCTCATGTTTTTCTCACGCCCACAGTTCCATTTCATCTGCACATCTCTGTGGTTTGAGCTTTCTTGGATGCCACCCTCAGAAACTTGCAATGGAGAATTCTTGTTTTCAAGGTTACCTCTACTGCAGCTTTTGCTCGTTCAAACTCCTCTTCCAAGGAATGGTTCCTGGAGAGCAGAGCACTCCCCCAGCGATGCTCTTTGGTGAGCCGAGCCTGAAATAAACCAGACAGATGATGTATTATTGGCATTATGTGCCACAAAAACAGAGGTAGTTTTCTTTTTCTCACCTTGTTTCCCTAGACTTCCAAAGGATTTCATGTGTACGTGCACACTTGGGTGAGTGTGTGTGTGTGTCTGTATATGCGTTTTTGTGTGTGCACGTGAGGACATAGGTCAACCTGTAATATCATTCCTTAGGCATTATCCATTTTACTGTTTGAGACAGACTCTCTTACTGGGATCTTAGGCTCTCTTAGTCTACTCTTTCTGGCCAGCGATCTCCCAGAAAGCTCCATTCTCCTCATCCCCAGTGCTGAGATCACAAGTGTGCACCACTAGGCCTGACTTTTCACAAGAGTGCTGGGGACTGAACTCAGCAAGCATTTTATTGAGTGAACAATTTCCTCCATGCCTTGAAAAGTGTTTACAAAGTATTTTTTTCAGGCATGAGGTCATCTGATCTTGGACGGTGTCAAATGTGTGTGTGTCTGCATATGGATTCTTTGTGCAATAGTCTGGTGTGAACTTTGAGCCATTGTGGTAGAGGACAGCTTCCCAATCACTCACTGTCCAGGAGGCTGAAAAGAAATCCAGTACTCTTAAGCAAAGCAAGCTGGAATTGCTTGGTTTCTTTCTACTATACTAGAGAATTTTCTAGCAAGTCTGCTTAGCTCTGTATGAGTGTTCTAGAGCAGCCAAAAGTGTGTTTTCACAAGGTTTAACACAGACGAAATCTAGACACTCAATGTTCTGGAGGCGAGTTCACGGCCACGGTGGCGGCAGAACTGTGCTCTCTGCACGTTCTGGGGAGGCCTGCTCCACGCCCTTTCCTGTATACAGGGCTGCAGGTGGTTAGGGTCATAGTATCTGCTCTGTCCTGTCCTTTCTGCTTTGCTCTTACAAGGAGCCTGGGACTGCAGTCAGGGCTTTTCCACACCACAGGAAACTATTTTTTCCCCCAGATCACCCATCTAGCCCTGTCTTCCCTGTGCACGGCGACAGTCACAGGCTTTAGGTCTATGACAACTTAGCTTTTTTGAAGACTCCATTCACTACTACTCTCCTATGACACGTTTGGAGCACAGTATATTTTATAAACAAGGATACGCAAATACATGTGCTGGGAAGATATCTCAGAATATAAGAGTACACTGCTCTTATAGAAAACGTGAATTTGATCCCTAGCATCCCTCACTAGGCAGTTCAGAACAGCTTGTAGCTCCCATTACAGGGAGATCTGATACCACTGTCATCCTAAGTACCTGTATTCATGTGCACATATGGGCGTGTAGACAAACACACATACAGACAATTAAAAATAAATGAATAAGCCAGGAGGTGGTAGTGCATGCCTTTAATCCCAGAACTTGGAAGGCAGAGGCAGGTGGATCTTCATTTTGAGGCTAGCTAGCCTGGTCTACAGAGCAAGTTCCAGGATAGCCAGGGTTACATAAAGAAACCTTGTCTTGAAACACAAAAAGGAAAAAAAGATTAAATTAAATCATAAAATTAAAAATATAAAAATGCAGGTGGTTTGCAATTTTTTAAGATAATACGTTGTTGGGATCTTGTTGCCTGGGAGAGAATCTAACAGTGAAGGCCATTTGAGCAGCTCACAAAAGGCTAAACAGTCTTGTGTGTAACTTGGTGAATCACCTGACATTTTTTCCTAAGCAGCTTTGGGAGCGCTGCTCAGGACTGTCTTACGTCGGGTGCCAACTCCTTCATCTTTCTGCTGGTCCCTTCCCTGACAAAACCTTTATAATGTAGACACATGGCAAGAAATAAATGATTGATTTTATTTTACAATGTTATTTATTTGTTATTTATTTATATACTAGCAAGTAATTTGAGAGCTCAGGGGTTGGCAGAATAATGATTGTTAAATGTCCACACCACACAAAGAAGTCTATAGATTCAAGGCAACTCCTTAAAAATCCATTGATATCCGTATGTAAATATTTTTAAAACACTAAGTTGTACTGCATGAGAAAAGACCATGTCCTAGTTTGCTTTTGGTTGCTGTGATAAAAACACTGATTAAAACCAATTTGGGGAAGAAAGGGTTTGTTACATCTTAGAGGTTTCAGGCCATCATCAAGAGAAGCCAGGGCAGGAAGTCAAGGCAGGAACCTGGAGGCAGGAACTGAAGCAGAGGCCATGGAGGAACCCTACTTTATGTCTTGCTCAACCTGCTTTCTTATATAACCCAGGGCCACTTGCCAAGGGATGGCACCACCCACAGTGGGCTGGATCCTCCTACATCAATCACTAGTCTTAAAAGTGCTTCACGGGTTTGCCTACACATCAGTCTGATGGAGGCAATTCTTCAGTTGTGGTTCCCTCTTCTCAGATGACCAGTTTTGGAAACATAAGGAATGCCAATGAGTGACTAGCAAGAAAACACAGCCCCGTTGAAAATGGCCAAAGACCATGAGGATATAGTTTCTGGAAGAAGAAATGTAACTTGTCAATAGGCTTATAAAAAGTAGTCCCCTCGATTAAACAGAGAGGAAATGACAATCAAAACCACAGTCGGCATCACCTCACGTGGGTTAGGCTGTTGCCAAAAGGGTCAAAGAATATTGGAGGAGATGGAGGAAAAAGCAGGCTCTTATGCACTACTGGTAGAAAGGTAGATTTGTATTATTGTGAAAACAGCTTAGAGTGCCTGCAGAAAATCAAAACTAAACCTACCATGTGGTGCCAAGGGAATGAGACCATCATTGCGGTAATTTTAAGTGTTCTTTCAAAAATAAACCAAAGGGTATGAGGTAGTGCGTATAGTAATCAGAATAAGCCAACTTGCCATGCACACCTATTTCAAAAGATTGCATGTGATAAACACATACTTTTATTGGTCAAATAATACATAATAATAAAGAGATACATCATGCATGACCTATGAGTGGCATTAGAAAAGAAATGCACTGATATTGTTGTCTGAGGCAGTGTTTAATCACCAGGCACCATGCATGGTGCGACAGGCCCCATGTTGCTGGGATGCTTGATCTAACAGGAGTCTATTAGCATCCCTGACCTCTCTATCTATTAATCTTTCAGCTGCATTATCAACCACAGGCTGCGAAGGGCACCACATGTCAGGAGCCCAGGGTTCCAGGCCAGCTCTCCTTTCCCACCTAACAAAGCAAGCACAGATGGAGCCTTGTGTGCAAATGACATTTGATTCTGATGGCACAATCACTATTTAGGGATACTCCATTCCTCACACCATTTGAAAGGCTTTAGGTTATTACTAAGATAAGTGTTATCTAACTTACCATTTTTAAATTTCTTGGCCCAAGGAAGCGTAAGTTAAATGTTATGGAATATAAATAGCAGTTGATATGGAGCTGAAATTTTTGATACTTTTCCATTCTTTAGTGCTGTACTGAAACATGCTGGTTAAGAGCTGAGCATAGGGGGCTGAGAAATGGCTCAATGGTTAAGGGCTCTTGTGGCCTTTTCAGAGGACCTGGGTTCAATTCCCAGCGCCCACCTGAGGGCTCATAGTGATCTATAACTCCAGTTCCAGGTTATCTGATATCCTCTTCTGACTTTCTTGGGCAGCAGGCACACATGTGACACATAGACACACATGTAGGCAAAGCACTCAAACACACAAAATAAAAAAAAACAAGTAGAAGGAACTGAGTACCACATAGAGATGATAACACACACGGGTAAAATAGCCTTCCTTGAAACCAAGACATTAAAAAATATCTAACTTAGGAAAAACCTGTGACTTGGTAAAACAAATCAGCCTTGTGGACTGTGGGTATTGCTTGACAATTTGATAGAGGTATGATAAACAACGGTTGCACCCATCAGTTTGGCTGGCAGTCATCTTAACAGCATAGCTTGTCCATTTGTCCTTCTCCAATACAAAGGAGCATGGAAATATCCAGAAGGTCTTTTAAAATTCAGGTTGCTGTGCTCCCACCCCAGGGTTCCTGATTCAGTAAGTCTGGTAAGGAGTTTCAAATCTGCATCTCCACAAACCCCCAGTTGCCTCTGAGAATGCCAGCTCAGGACCACAAAGAGAACTCGGATCCACATGTATATTGTGTGTATGTGGGTAAATCTCAAGTCCATAAGCATGTGCTAGGTGTATGGCACTTACTGTCAACTTGACCCACTTAGAATCATCAGGCATCTTAGTTACTCTTCTCTCTGTGCTAAAACACCATGACCAAAAATAGCCTAGGGAGGAAAGGGACTATTCCATACTAAGATTCTCTGGTCACACTCCTATCGTTGAGGGAAGTCGGGGCAGGAACTCAAGGCAGGGACCTAGAGGCAGGAACTGAAGCAGAAGCCAATGAGGACCACTGCTTATTGACTTGCTCTCCTTTGCTTGCTCAGTCTGTTTTCTCATACAAGGTAAAACCACCTACCCAAGGGTGGCACAGCCTGCAGTGGCCTGGGTCCCATGTCAATCATGAAGTAATCAAGAGAAGACCCTACAGGTTTGCCTATAGGCAATATGATGGGAGCATTTTCCCAATTGAGATTTCTCCTCTCAGACAATTCTAGCTTATGTAAGTTAACAAAAACCAAAACCAAACAAGCAAACAAAAACAGCCAAGACACTTGGGAAGGAGAGTCTTACTGAGGACTCTCAGGTTGTATCAGGTTGGTCTGTGGGTCTCTGGGGGATTATTTTGATAATGTTAAATGATGTAGAAAGAGCCAGTCCGTTAAGGGCAGCATTATCACCTAGGTAATGGTATGAGAACAGCATGAGAGGAGAAAGCTAGCTGTCAGTAAGCGTGTAGGTAAGGAAGGATGCATTCATTTTGTTCTTTCTGATCTTGATCCTGGATACGATGTGACTAGCTGCGTCAAGTTGCTGCTCTGACTTCCCTCAATGATGGGCCACAACTGGGAATTGTAAACCAAGTAAATCTCTTCCTCCACAAAGTTGCCCGTTGTGGGATATTTTATCACAGCAGCAGAAATAAAATTAGAACACGCTCAGGTTAGAAAGTAA